CGACCCGCATTCACTTAAGGCGAATTCTCCTCTCTGAAGTGTAGCCACAAAAGCTACCATTAATAGGCCAAAGCACTGGGGTAATTTTTGCATAACAAATTAACTTGAAGTAGCGCAGCGCCACTCACAGCACAAAGCTAATCCACTTTGGCCAAAGAAGACGGGGAAAGATAGCCATATAATGGATGTCCCAAGCAGGTTAAAATTACGGCAAATTAAAAAAAGCCAGTGGATAAGGTATAATAAAAAAAAAACCCTGCGCGTTATAAACTAAATGAAGCAAGCTATAAAGTAATTTGAGCTACGCCACGCCTCTTTGAACAGCCCCGATCGAATAATTTCCATACGATGGGAATGGAGGAGTAGAGAAAATCTCGTTAAATGCGGAAAAGGTAGCACAGTTTCCTGAATCGAGCGACAACATTCATTCGCAGGATGTCGAAAGGACATCGAATGTGGCCATTGTTCATCGGCTGTCGACGCCAATCATTCAACTGATTAGTTTGATTTTCCCGCTGCGCTATTTCCGTAGACAAAGGCGAACGACAATACCAACTGATGTGTCAGTAATTTGGATGAGCGAAACTACGAATAAAAGGTCCGACCGGACTTCTGCAGATATGACCACTGGGATAACCAGGAACTTGCCCCTTCTCTCAAACGTAACGTTTTCACTAATTGCTTCACCAGTTCACATTTTACGGACGATGTTGTCACATCTAAAGTTTTTTGAAGTTCACTTAATTAAATTATTGATTGGTCTATTTTCGTGACTACGAGCAAGGACCGCTCACCAGATTAAATTTTAAAACCTTTAATGCTTGAAAATATCCCTGGCGTTTATATGTTCATCTCAATTGTTATTCTTCTAACAATTACTCAATGATAAATTAATATTATATAAGAAACTAAATAAGTGCTATCGATATCTGTTATATGGAGACCATCCAACACATGTACATGTTAAATTTGTAGTTGCAATTACCATTGTTGTACAGCCATTAAAACACAACGAGCTCGTTGAACTCAGATGAGGTATTCATACCTAGGCCACAAAAGTCTAAGCCATGCCGACATTGCTGTTTATAAACCAAACTTATAATGAGCTTGAAAACCGCAACATAGAAGCACACACAATCAGGGCAACCATTTCAGTTACCAACTAAATCCATTGAGTGCACCCAAGTCTACTTGAGACTTAGGCAAACACACTCGAATATGAAAACAATTATGGACGTTTGTTAATTTTAGGAAAATGACTGACAAGAGGGATGAAGAGTTCACAGATAGGAGAGGAAGAAATCGACATTCAAGCAATAATTGATGTTTATCATCAAGCAAATAAATCAAATTACTAAGTTAATACAATTTTCGGTTCACCCAGATGCTCAAAAATAATTTAATAATATTCAGAAAGCTTATTGAATTCATCAATTAATAGGCAAACGTTGCCTTTCTATAATCAAATCAATAAAATCGGAATTTAAACAAATTAGAGAAATTGTAAAGCAACTTAACTTATTGTTGTGAGTCTACAAATCATCATTGTAAATCATTAACATATCTGGTATCCTTCACAATGCAAGACTGTGGGTAAAGAGTATCCTTCACAATGCAAGACTGTGGGTAAAGAGTTGCAGTCTGAAATATTTTAAAACTTTACTGACAAAATGTATTTGTTGGATTTGTCTACTGTAAAGATCCATTTAATAATAGCACGGATAAGTTATTCATTTTATACATTATCCAGGACCCAAAAACATCACTGGTTAGTTTATGTAAATAAAAAATCGACCTCGACTTCAAGAACAGATTATTTCCCTTAAGTTGCCATCTAAGTGGCACAAGAAGTTCCTCAAGAATGGGCCATGGGCCAAGAAACTTGAAAATGGCAGCTGCGAAACTATTTAATAGTTGCACATTGCAACACTTATCAGCAGAGTGGAAGGGAACAAAAAGCTTTGCTCAACTATGTTGCAGGCACATCGGGCAACAATGTGACATGCAACGGAATTGTTGAGCATACGCATTACAAGCCTCGCAGCCATGCCAACCCAAACTAAGCCAACCAAAATGCCTTTCAATCACAAGACTGAAGAATTTTCACAGGCCAAGGACGAGAGGAAAACGCAAGAGTACTCCGATTGAACTGGGAAAAATATGCTGGTTGTTAAAATATGAAAAAAAAAGATCAAAATAACCAAAATAAAAATATAGAAGCATTCACTCAGCAGCAAAAATCGTCAGCAACAAGAAAATAGCCAAAACAAAAAAATAATAACTTCCACATTTTTTTTTTCTCGACACAAACAACATATACTGACAGACCAGTGACATGGAACGGCATGCAAAAAGTTTAAAATACTGTCGAGAAGGCAAATGGATGGATATATATACACATAATAAACATAAAGAAAAAGTTTCATTTATTCACAAAAATATGGTGAGCAGTGATGTTGTCAAACATTGGGTAAGGCAAAATGGAAGCAAAAATATAAGAGTATATATATTTTAAACAAAGTCGACTTTAACTTCTGTCTCTGAAAATATCCTTTTAGTTCTACAAACAAAAATTATGAAAGAATGATAGACACACAACATTAATGATAGCAAACGCCAAACAAAAACTCTCCTGTTAAAAAATTAAGCAAACATGTAGCAAAACAAATCACAGGAAATCTAAAATTTTACTTTTGCATAATTGAAATTGAATAATTTTTTACGAACAACGTGTTTCTCGACCATATGTTTTTTCTCTAGTCATTATAAGCCTAAAGAGTTATAGATGCAAATTCATTTGGTGACTGAGCAAAGTTGGTTGTCTTTGGTAGTTTTTGGTGACAATTACATCCAACTTTAAACATTTTAATTAGTATGTTGTATTAAAATCTAACATTAAATTCCTAAATCAAACCAAATTGGATAAAAACATTAATCTAAAGTTATTTGTCTAGTCGGCGAATATAAAAACATTGCCTGCCCTGCTTTATTTCCATCATTTTCTGCATTTCTTGCGAATGACGTATTTTTTTAATGAGCTTTAAATAACATGAAAAATGTATTCAGCCTCATAAAATATTTCTCCAGCCATGGCCTTTTACTGTCATACGTTTTATTATCGCGGACTTTGCTCAACGTCATTCACTGGCCAGTCAGTGGGTGGTAAGTGGGCTGGGGAAGTGAGGAGTTGCGCGGAATAATTAAACTTTTTTTCGTTAGGGCTTACCCCCCAAAAGTGGGTCAATGTATCGCTGGCAATATATACATATATATAGTACAAAGTACAGGAATAAAAACGGCGACGATTCTATTGACATTTTAACTTAACAACTCCACATATACTGCTGAGCTGAGTTTTATTTTCTGATTTTTAGGATTATGTAAAAGCAAAACCTTTACGAACTTGTGACTTTTCAGTGTAAAATAAAATCAACAAAAGTTGCTGGGGAATCCCATTGATTAATCGAATTCAAAGAAGATATGTGTTAAAAAAAATATGAAAGAATAAAACTATATTAAACGACATATTTTGAATTAATATGAAGCAGTCAGATGCAAAAATATTTAATAGAACACTTTTACACATCTGCTTAATAATTATAATTTGAACTTTTTGGAATAAATTACTGAATATTGAAGATCTAAAGTTATGCTACACCAGGGAGCCAGTTAGAAGTAAAATAGTATGTTGGCACCAAAAACCCAAAAATGAGCAATTATTGTCAAGTTCCCTTAGGGGCACTGAACAGGAGTTTGACCCCAAAACGAAGAAAAAGGGAAAAATTAATATAATACTGCACCGAACTGACCTGACCTGCATTTCTGAGCTAGAACGGATAAAACCTCACGAAGCTACAAAGGAAGTCGAAACGGAAATGAACAAAAAATGTTAGTAACAGGGGAGAGGCGTGGGTGCAGAGTATATATCGGTGGAGCGGAGCGGTGATTGAAAGCATAAGCCGGAGCGGATAGCAGGAAAAACTTTTTCACAAAAGTAAGCTAACTTAGACATGAAAACAAACAAACAAAACAATCCCAGTCAAGCCAAAACCGAAGCAAAGCAAAATGAACCACAACGAACCGAAGCGAGCTGAACTGAACTGAACTGAACCTAGGTAAAAGTTTTTGGCCCTTCGCACTCTGTAGGTAAACAAGGCTCCGACGGAGAAATAGTTGGCCTGGGGGGCTACTGTGGCGGAGTATAGGGTGCTGAGAATGGAATTGAAAATGAAAGACAACTTGACGGCGACTTCATTTCATGATTAAGTTGCCCATATCGATTTCCTTTCAACAGACTTTATGATGATGAAAATGGAAGCTCTTCCTTGGTTGGGCCACCGCAAGGACCTGCGCCTGCGGTTGTCAAAACCCGACAACTTCTTCCCATCCTGTTCAACCGTCGCACATGTGACTGACTCACTCACATTTAAAACAATAGATGACGCCGGCAAAGGCGAAACAGAAGAAAAGGTTGCAAAACATACATAAATTGTGAGGCAAATGTAATTGTTAGGGACATCTTGGGACTGTTTTGTAGGGCCAAATGGTCGGGCAAACAAAAAAAAAAGAAATTCACAGATGGCGAGAGTGGAATCGGGCTATTCCGAGGGTACAACTTTTCTACACATGTGGTTGACGTGGTAAGTACTTTAGAAATGAGAAAAAAAGTAAAAACAAAAATTTGCAAAAATAGCTGAATTTAACCTCCTAAAATAATAAACCATAGTTTAAATATATAATTTAGAAGACTAAATAATTCGAAATCAAGACTTTGTGGTTCGATTTTAAAATTTTTGGTTTTTAAAAGCTTTAAACTTTAAATCTTCAACCTTATATATAAATAGTTTTTGCTTTTATGAATATTTTCTTTTCGGTTCGGTTCTTTTTTTTTCTATGAAAATGTTTTTCTTTTTACGTTTCGACTTTTTTAATGCTTTAAAAAAAAAGTAGGCGCCGATTTTAAATTTATAGTATATGTAATGATTTACACTATTGATTTTAAATACATAGTACATGTAAGTCACAACTGTTTAAATATACATTTTAGTGCCAGACAGCAAAAATCACAGTGCAAAAAAAATGGCAGATGTTAAGGAGCAGCCTCAGTGGGGTATAAAACTGTCCAAATTCTTTGTTGTACCCCAGCGATGGATTCTGGCCATCATGGGATTTTTTGCAATCTTTAATGCCTACACCATGCGAGTCTGTCTTTCCCAGGCCATAACAGTGTTGGTGGTCAAGAGAAACTACACGGCAAGTACCCATGCAATCTGTGAACCAGACGAAGATGACGCCGCTCCGGTGTCTCGCGAAGGCGGTAGCTACGAATGGTCCGAAGAGAAGCAGGGTCTGATCCTGGCCTCCTTTTATATTGGCTACATCGTTACCCACTTGCCCGGTGGCGTATTGGCGGACAAGTTCGGCGGAAAGTGGACACTGAGCCTGGGAATTTTTCTCACGGCCATATTTACGCTAATCACACCGATGTGTATCGTTTACGGCGGTAGCGATGCCTTGATCGTACTCCGTGTGCTGATGGGACTTGGCGAAGGGACCACCTTTCCAGCGCTGAGCGTATTACTGGCCGCATGGGTGCCGGCCAATGAGCGAGGAATGCTCGGCGCCCTGGTCCTCGGCGGTGGTCAGGTGGGTAGCATCGCTGGCAACCTGCTATCCGGCTTGATACTCGACTCCATGGACTGGCCGTGGGTGTTCTACGTATTTGCGATAATAGCAATCGTCTGGTTTATTATATTCACCCTGATCTGCTTCAGTGCTCCCTATAGTCATCCGTTTATCAAGCCATCGGAGCGTGAATTTTTGATGGCGGAGATACCGCCGAAGGATACGAACCGGCCGAAGACACCCTGGCTAGCCATTTTCACGAACGTACCTATGTGGGCCCTGATTAGTGCTCAGATCGGTCACGATTGGGGCTTCTATATCATGGTTTCATATCTGCCCAAATACATGGCCGATGTGCTGCGGTTCTCGATCAAGGCCAACGGTCTGTACTCCTCATTGCCCTACGTGACGATGTGGATTATGTCACTGGCCAGTGGCTGTGTGGCCGATCAGATGATCAAACGGAACTGCATGAGCACCACGAATACGCGTAAAATCATGACGGGATTGGCTGCCTTTGGACCGGCTATCTTCATGGTCGGCGCCTCGTATGCCGGCTGCAATCGCGGATTGGTCGTGGCCCTATTTACTATTAGCATGGGTCTAATGGGCACCTACTACGCCGGAATGAAACTAACGCCGCTGGACTTGAGCCCCAATTACGCTGGCACCCTGATGGCGATCACCAATGGCATTGGTGCGATCACGGGAGTGATATCGCCCTATCTAGTGGGTGTAATGACTCCGAATGCATCCATGTTGGAGTGGCGCATGGTCTTCTGGGTGGCCTTTGCCGTGCTATTCATTACGGCGATTGTCTACTGCATTTGGGCCTCCGGGGAAGTACAGCCTTTCAATGACGGCACCAACTCAAACAAGAAGGAAGGTTAATCGACAGATTTATCAAATTTATACTTTGAATTCCTACAAACATAAGTGACTGACGTTTTAAAAGCAATGCAATGATGTGTAAGCAGCTTACAAAATTTGTCGTAGTCCGTTTCGGGAAGATCTATTTTTCAATTTTGTATTTTGCTTGATAATGTTTCTCACGAACTAATTTTTAAAGGGTGTAACCCACAACTATAAATAAATAATTATTACGATTTAAAATTCATCTGTCTATAAGCCAAATTGACGTTTTGGGTTTTGTTTTTATGGGAAATTAGGTCATTTAATGTATATCTTTTTTATACATTTTGCATTTTATACACTCATTAATTTTTATCATTAAAAAAATAATGCCAGCAGTGACACAGAACAGGGAAGTGAAGCAGAAATAGCTTCAAAAACTTGAAATGGTGCCTTAATAATTTATATTTACATTTTAGCAAATGTTTTTATAGACACAAAACCCGCACAATAAGTTGTACAATTTACAAAAACGAAAAGTGTCACCAATTTGCAATTTGAGTTTTCCAGTATAATTCAGTTTCAGTTTAGTCGATTTGTCATGCCCATTACACCAAAAGAAATTGAGCAATATATCAATTTATGTAAAGGTTTGACAGCATTCATTTAGTAAAATCTTAAAACGTTTAAATTTATTTTTATCGAAAATGACAGGACATTCAATAACAAACATTATTTACTTTTGGATATGAATCTCATTTTTTCTCAATTCATTAAGTAGGTCTTATTATTTACACTGCTTTTATTTCGGCTTTTTAGAATGCATTCATTTGTTTGTTTCGTGGTGATAATGCGAAATTTGCATATATTATAAGCCACGCTGCTGTTCTGGCCAATGACCGCACTCCACTCCACTCCCTTCATCCATTCGTTTAAGCGCTTCATTTGTAGTCAACACGAATATTAAATCAATTATTTATGCATTCATTTCGTTCGACAACGCATGAAATATTTTGTGGGCTTGGCCAGCCGGCCATGATGTTTGCTGTGCAACTCTTTATATCGATTTAATTGTGCGCAGATTTTGCTTCTTCTTTTACTGTGCGGTGGTGTGAGCAATTAATAAATTATTTCCGTTTATATGCATCTCATGATAGATAGCAATTACAGTTGCTCTTTAACCCGACCTCACCAGCAGTATTTTGTACCCGACTTGATTATGATGTGACTTAAATGAATAGCTTTTGGTCATCGGTCAACCAGTCATGACAGTTTGGCTTATTTACTTTTCCTCAACTAAACCAAACAAGTTTCTTCAGTAATATAAGACATAAAACTGCTTCGATCCGTTTCGCTAGTTAAAAACTTTCTTCGTTGAGTGTCCTTTTGATTGGTTTTAAGAGTTGATGAATCTTAAACTTTTGAAATAAAAACTTTAATTTGAAAAGCATTAGTGGAATATTGAATTTCTTAGTCATTTTCCACTTTATTACCTCTAACCATTTTAATATCATTTAAACATCATCATGATAAACATCAGAAAAATTACCTGAAAATAAAGAATACAAATATTAATTAGTTAAGTGTTTTTGCTTTAAAAGTTTTTTTTGGCAGAAATGTTTTTAATAATTTTTAAGGCAAAGATGTTACTTAAGGAAACCCCATTAAGTGCCATAAAAATATCATTGCCTACCTTTGCGGGCACCTAAGTTATGATGTTGGCTCTCGACTGTCAACTAAAAAGCCATAAAATTTGTCTTTAAATACCAGAACTCGCATTATAAATTTTACCTTCTCACTTGTGCCACATGGGGCGGTAAGATCGTTAAAAGTAAGTTTGGGCCACAAAAAAAGTATAAAAAGTAAGAGACCAAAGAAGATGAAAGAGACAAAGCTAAAAAAGCGAAACGAAGAAAGTCACACAGACAAGACACACACTCAGACAGACGGAGAGAAAAAGGTAATAAATAAACAACAGGTATAAAGAGGACTTAAGAAATCCGAAAGGAAACGTAGTGAGGTTATAAAAATGCAATTTCCTTTTGCTACTTCTATGAATACATTCGAATGTATCGGACAAAAAGTACACACATATATGCAAAGATATATACATACATATAAATATGTATATAAGGGTAAGGAAATAAATACCAATAGAACAAGCTGAAAGCCGTTTTAGCCAAAATAACAAATGTCTATGCAATTTGTTTTAGGGCCAACACCAAAAGATGTGCATACATGATACCGAGAGAGAAAAGTGAAAATCTACCGTTCAAAGAGGTGGCACTGGCCCCAAAGGTGAGTTTTGAAGCAATTTCTTTTCATTTTCCATTTTCCTTTTTTTCTCCCGTTAACAAAAGGCTCAAACAGGGGCGCGTAAATTGCAGACGGGATGCCGCAGGAGCCGAGTGGGAAAATTGCAGGCTTTTCCTGGCGCAACGTTCAAAAGTATGCAATGCAAAAATGTACGGTTGAAATTGAAAGGCGGTTCGTCAGACAGTGGGCGTGGCCTGCCATTCCCACCGAGTTTTGGGCGTGAAATGTGTGAAAGGATAAAGCCGCCAGCTGAGAAAAGAATTATTGCGCCTTCTTTCAAATGGTTTTAGAGGAGGGAACCCGCTTTTCCGGAAGTTTGGAAAACCTGAAAAAATAAATTCTGCTGAGAAACAAAGAAAGTTAATTTGGGGATGAAATTGTATGTACATCATCGCAAATAGTTAATTCTCAATCTTATATTTATATATTATATGTTGTAGATTAAACTAGGTTAGGAAAGGTTTTGGCTAATCATTCAAAATAAATCATCAAACTGTATTTCACGACAGACAATATGTTAAATATAATCATAAAAGTAAAAGCTTAAAGATATTTTTTGATTTTTCCAAAAGCACTAAATTTAACTTATGTAATGTAAACGATTCCCGACTTAAGGAACTCCCCTCGGTCGATGGCTTGCCAAAGAAGATGTGCTTGCTCAACAGTTTGCTCTGCCATTAAACTATCGCCTCATTGTTGGCTCGCTCCTCTTTCAGGCAAACAGAGGAGCTGATGGCTGAATGCGCGTTGGCCTTTATCTGCCCTGCATATCAAATGAGCCAAGACGGCGCAAGGAGCCGGGGGACTTGGACTCGTCGCAGCCCCAGTTTATGGCATTTCTTTAGCTACATCTTGATAATGACCAGTGACCCCAATACGGCATCAAGAGTTGCCCCACACACTTTCACTTCCCGGGCCGACCACGAGTCCCGCCCCCTTTTTCCCGGCCGCCCACATCCACAAATGGGCACAGAAGTGTGCGAATGATTCTCTAGGCAACACTTTCGCTACCATGTATGCATTTAATGTAAATTTTTCACACTAAACACGTGCATAAATCATCACGGGGCAAGAGCTCAACTTTTGCTCAAGGCTAAGTTTGTTGCTGCTGCCTCATTCTTCTTCCGCAGTAATGTCACCTGCACATTGAGGCCAGCCCAGATGAATAAAGCCGGCTAAAGAGCTCCAACAAAGGTAACTCCCTTTACAGACAGCAAAATTACTAGGGTATTTTAAAATATTTGAAATAATATTAATCGAAATCCGACTTGGACACCGTTCAATCGACCAAAAAACGCATCATAAAAAGACATGGTTTATAATACCATTTGAACTTATTTATATAGTTTGTTTAACATTATTGTTTGTATTAAGTTTAAAAGTATCTAAGGAATGCAAACAAAACAAAAATCTGAAAATGTAATCTTTTTTAACCAAGTAGTAACTCCTTTCGAATCGTTTTTATCACCACCAATTAAAATAGTTATAAGGTAAGCTTTGTTCTCAATTTCACTTCCGTACTATTTATTTAAACGCTTGCGTGACTAGAAACACACATTTTGGACAAATATTGCCTGGTTTGGCAAGCAAAAGGAATGAAATTAAAGAAATTATAACTGAATATTTAATAAGGACTGTTAAACCAAATTGCAGTAATTTAAATAAATAAATAAAGCATGCACAATAATACGCGCAAGCTTTTCTAACAGCCTTCTCTTTGTTTCAGTGCATAGAAATGCATGGAAAATAATAATTATAATGCTCATGCAACCTGGCAGAATGTCGCACACCCAGGATACTTGTCCTGATTATGTGGCATCGCAGCAGCAGCGGGCACAAGCGCATCAACATAACCACCAAAGGACAGTCACAGTTGGTGGTTGCAACCAGCAGCTGCAACTTGCAATATTGCAGTTGCCCTGCATTCCGTGCTCCTCCTGGCAAACATTTGTTTTGACAGACTGCTCGAATGGGAATGGGGAAGTGATGCGGGGATGCGGTATTTTGTGGACAGGGACAACGCAAACTGAGGCCCTTAGCCATTTAAATTTATGTCTATTTGTGCTGGCGTCTGGCATTTTCCCAGGGATATTGTCTAGCCCTAAAGGGGTTTCCATTCGTCCTTAATGATACTCAAAATTGTTATCTGGGCGTTGATGTGTTTATCGTTATATTTATGCTAAAATGTCGAGTTGTCCATTAATTAACACAATTTGTACAAGTGCCTTTGGAAGACTATTTACCATATAGATATTTGCATAAGCGGCGTTTTGAAAATCATTGATGATTTAAAATTTATAAATGAGATAGTTGAGAGAAAATTGAGATATTGATTTATTAAGCTTCGTTTAAACTTAAGTATTTTGCATTTTCTTATTCATCATTTGCACCATGTATGTAAATAAGAAAACATATAAATAATAATTTTAAAAGTTTTGCCAGTAGGAACTTACATTTTTTAGACTCCCTGCCTTGCCACAAAAATCTAATTAGCCTGATCTGGGAAATATGTTTACCTAAAATAAATTGAAAAACTTTTATACTCTTATACTTTCGCGCATCTGGGGTAGAGGCTGCCAAAAATTAGCTCGTCCTCCTCAGAAGCTTCAGCCAGAAACTTAAAACTTTAATTAGCCACTCCAACGTGGCAAGGACCCGGTCAGAGGCTTTAGGATTTTTCTATTATTTTCCTTGAAGCTTAGCAAGCACTAAAGCACTGAAAGACACTTCGAAATAATTAGCGGCATTAGCCATCAAGTAATTTTAAAAATTTATCACCTAACAGACGAGTACATGTGGTCATTTCGGGAGGGAATAGGGCAGGGTGATAAAATACAAGTAACCCAATTAGCACTTAACACATAGCAGCAAACAGTTAGGTAAATAAATGGCAACAGAAGCTCAATTGATGGCAGGAGCACGTGTCCTGGCATCACGTTAAATGT